GGTGCTTTACACTACAGTTTTTAAACTGCAACATTAACACCCCTCCTTCAGAGTGCAGGCACTGTACTTCCCATCTCCAGGACTCAAGTCCGGCCTGCCGGTTTCCCTGAATCCCTTCATAAATGTTACTTTGCTCACACTCCAACAGCACGTCAAGTATTAAAAAACCATTTGTCTCCATTCACTCCTATCAAACACGCTCACGCATGCCTGCTGGAAGTCCAAGCCCCTCGCACACAAAACCTCCTTTACCCCCTCCCTCCAACCCTTCCTGGGCCCGACCCCTACCCCGCCTTCCTTCCACTACAGACTGATACACTCTTGAAGTCATTCTGTTTCGCTCCATTCTCTCTACATGTCCGAACCACCTCAACAACCCTTCCTCAGCCCTCTGGACAACAGTTTTGGTAATCCCGCACCTCTCCTAACTTCCAAACTACGAATTCTCTGCATTATATTCACACCACACATTGCCCTCAGACACGACATCTCCACTGCCTCCAGCCTTCTCCTCGCTGCAACATTCATCACCCACGCTTCACACCCATATAAGAGCGTTGGTAAAACTATACTCTCATACATTCCCCTCTTTGCCTCCAAGGACAAGTTCTTTGTCTCCACAGACTCCTAAGTGCACCACTCACTCTTTTTCCCTCATCAATTCTATGATTCACCTCATCTTTCATAGACCCATCCGCTGACACGTCCACTCCCAAATATCTGAATACGTTCACCTCCTCCATACTCTCTCCCTCCAATCTGATATTCAATCTTTCATCACCTAATCTTTTTGTTATCCTCATAACCTTACTCTTTCCTGTATTCACCTTTAATTTTCTTCTTTTGCACACCCTACCAAATTCATCCACCAATCTCTGCAACTTCTCTTCAGAATCTCCCAAAAGCACAGTGTCATCAGCAAAGAGCAGCTGTGACAACTCCCACTTTGTGTGTGATTCTTTATCTTTTAACTCCATGCCTCTTGCCAAGACCCTCGCATTTACTTCTCTTACAACCCCATCTATAATATATTAAAACAACACACGGTGACATCACACATCCTTGTCTAAGGCCTACTTTACTGGGAAATAATTTCCCTCTTTCCTACATACTCTAACTTGAGCCTCACTATCCTCGTAAAAACTCTTCACTGCTTTCAGTAACCTACCTCCTACACCATACACTTGCAACATCTGCCACATTGCCCCCTATCCACCCTGTCATACGCCTTTTCCAAATCCATAAATGCCACAAAGACCTCTTTAGCCTTATCTAAATACTGTTCACTTATATGTTTCACTGTAAACACCTGGTCCACACACCCCCTACCTTTCCTAAAGCCTCCTTGTTCATCTGCTATCCTATTCTCCGTCTTACTCTTAATTCTTTCAATTATAACTCTACCATACACTTTACCAGGTACACTCAACAGACTTATCCCCCTATAATTTTTGCACTCTCTTTTGTCCCCTTTGCCTTTATACAAAGGAACTATGCATGCTCTCTGCCAATCCCTAGGTACCTTACCCTCTTCCATACATTTATTAAATAATTGCACCAACCACTCCAAAACTATATCCCCACCTGCTTTTAACATTTCTATCTTTATCCCATCAATCCCGGCTGCCTTACCCCCTTTCATTTTACCTACTGCCTCACGAACTTCCCCCACACTCACAACTGGCTCTTCCTCACTCCTACAAGATGTTATTCCTCCTTGCCCTATACACGAAATCACAGCTTCCCTATCTTCATCAACATTTAACAATTCCTCAAAATATTCCCTCCATCTTCCCAATACCTCTAACTCTCCATTTAATAACTCTCCTCTCCTATTTTTAACTGACAAATCCATTTGTTCTCTAGGCTTTCTTGACTTGTTAATCTCATTCCAAAACTTTTTCTTATTTTCAACAAAATTTGTTGATAACATCTCACCCACTCTCTCATTTGCTCTCTTTTTACATTGCTTCACCACTCTCTTAACTTCTCTCTTTTTCTCCATATACTCTTCCCTCCTTGCATCACTTCTACTTTGTAAAAACTTCTCATATGCTAACTTTTTCTCCCTTACTACTCTCTTTACATCATCATTCCACCAATCGCTCCTCTTCCCTCCTGCACCCACTTTCCTGTAACCACAAACTTCTGCTGAACACTCTAACACTACATTTTTAAACCTACCCCATACCTCTTCGACCCCATTGCCTATGCTCTCATTAGCCCATCTATCCTCCAATAGCTGTTTATATCTTACCCTAACTGCCTCCTCTTTTAGTTTATATATATATAATATATATATATATATATATATATATATATATATATATATATATATATATATATATATATATATATATATATATATATATATACATTCAACAAGTCGGCCGTCTCCCACCGAGGCAGGGTGACCCAAAAAGAAAGAAAATCCCCAAAAAGAAAATACTTTCATCATTCAACTCTTTCACCTCACTCACATATAATCACTTTTTGCAGAGGTGCTCAGAATACAACAGTTTAGAAGCATATACATATAAAGATACACAACATATCCCTCCAAACTGCCAATATCCCAAACCCCTCCTTTAAAGTGCAGGCATTGTACTTCCCATTTCCAGGACTCAAGTCCGACTATATGAAAATAACCGGTTTCCCTGAATCCCTTCACTAAATATTACCCTGCTCACACTCCAACAGATTGTCAGGTCTCAAATACCATTCGTCTCCATTCACTCCTATCGAACACGCTCACGCACGCCTGCTGGAAGTCCAAGCCCCTCGCCCACAAAACCTCCCTTACCCCTTCCTTCCAACCTTTTCGAGGACGACCCCTACCCCGCCTTCCTTCCCCTACAGATTTAAATGCTCTCCATGTCATTCTACTTTGATCCATTCTCTCTAAATTACCAAACCACCTCAACAAACCCTCTTCAGCCCTCTGACTAATACTTTTATTAACTCCACACCTTCTCCTAATTTCCACACTCCGAATTTTCTGCATAATATTTACACCACACATTGCCCTTAGACAGGACATCTCCACTGCAACCGCCTCGCTGCTGCATTCACAACCCAAGCTTCACTCCCATATAAGAGTGTTGGTACTACTATACTTTCATACATTCCCTTCTCTGCCTCCATAGATAATGTTTTTTTGTCTCCACATATACCTCAACCCACCACTCACCTTTTTTCCCTCATCAATTCTATGATTAACTTCATCCTTCATAAATCCATCCGCCGACACGTCAACTCCCAAGTATCTGAAAACATTCACTTCTTCCATACTCCTCCTCCCCAATTTGATATCCAATTTTTATCTAAATCATTTGATACTCTCCTCATCACCTTACTCTTTTCTTTGTTCGCTTTCAACTTTCTACCTTTACACACATTCCCAAACTCGTCCACTAACCTTTGCAATTTTTCTTTAGAATCTCCCATAAGCACAGTATCATCAGCAAAAAGCAACTGTATCAATTCCCATTTTGTATTTGATTCCCCATAATTTAATCCCAACCCCATCTATAAATATATTAAACAACCATGGTGACATTACACATCCCTGCCTAAGACCTACTTTTACCGGGAAGTAGTCTCCCTCTCTTCTACACACCCTAACCTGAGCCTCACTATCCTCATAAAAACTCTTTACAGCATTTAGTAACTTACCACCTATTCCATACACTTGCAACATCTGCCACATTGCTCCCCTATCCACTCTATCATATGCGTTTTCTAAATCCATAAATGCAATAAAAACTTCCCTACCTTTATCTAAATACTGTTCAACATATGCTTCAATGTAAACACTTGATCTACACATCCCCTATCCACTCTAAAACCTCCTTGCTCATCCGCAATTCTACATTCTGTCTTACCTCTAATTCTTTCAATTATAACCCTACCGTACATTTTTCCTGGTATACTCAGTAAACTTATTCCTCTGTAATTTTTACAATCTCTTTTGTCCCCCTTCCCTTTATGTAAAGGGACTATACATGCTCTCCGGCAATCTCTAGGTACCTTCCCATCTTTCATACATTTATTAAACAAAAATACCAACCACTCCAACACTATACCCCCCCCCCCCCTGCTTTTAACATTTCTGTCATGATCCCGTCAGTTCCAGCTGCTTTACCCCCTTTCATTCTACGTAATGCCTCACGCACCTCCCCCACACTCACATCCTGTTGTTCTTCACTCCTAAAAGATGGTATACCTCCCTGTCCAGTGCATGAAATTACCGCCTACCTTTCTTCGTCGACATTGAAGTTCCTCAAAATATTCTCGCCATCTACCCAAAACCTCCATCTCCCCATCTAACTCCCCTTCTCTGTTTTTAACTGACAAATCCATTTGTTCCCTAGGCTTTCTTAACTTGTTTAACTCCAAAAATTTTTCTTATATATATATATATATATATATATATATATATATATATATATATATATATATAATATATATACGCTGCAATAAGATCACAGTAAACAGGGTAGGGGTCGTCCTCGAAAGGGTTGGAGAGAGGGGGTAAAGGAGGTTTTGTGGGCAAGGGGCTTGGACTTCCAGCAAGCGTGCGTGAGCGTGTTAGATAGGAGTGAATGGAGACGAATGGTACTTGGGACCTGACGATCTGTTGGAGTGTGAGCAGGGTAATATTTAGTGAAGGGATTCAGGGAAACCGGTTATTTTCATATAGTCGGACTTGAGTCCTGGAAATGGGAAGTACAATGCCTGCACTTTAAAGGAGGGGTTTGGGATATTGGCAGTTTGGAGGGATATGTTGTGTATCTTTATGTGTGTATGCTTCTAAACTGTTGTATTCTGAGCACCTCTGCAAAAACAGTGATAATGTGCGAGTGTGGTGAAAGTGTTGAATGATGAAAGTATTTTCTTGTGGGGATTTTCTTTCTTTTTTGGGTCACCCTGCCTCGGTGGGAGACGGCCGACTTTTTGAATATATATATATATATATATATATATATATATATATATATATATATATATATATATATATATATATATATATATATATATATATATATATATTACAGTTTGTTTCATCTGTTTTTGCTTTATAATTGGTGAGTAAAGTACCGTGATATATCACATAAGATAATTATACATGTGTCAAGTGCAGTGTATTGTGCGCATCTCCCCAGTCTCTGGTGGGTGCCAAGATTGACCATCCCTTCTCTATGGATCTTCTCGGTGATCAACTCTACTGGTCAGACTGGTCAACAAAACAGGTGGGTGGTTGTTGTTTTGATTACTGTGCGTCTCTCTCCTCTTTCTCCGTTAATGTTCATTTCCTTTGCAAGTATCTGAAATTTTTCCAGTAGCCATCTTTTTTTTTTTTTTTTTTATTTCACCGGTATTCTCCCGGCCCGGGTCTTTTCCAAGTAGTGGTGACCCGGCCTTGGCTCCCTATCTGGGGAGTGTCTCGAGACTTAAGTCTCCCATGGGAGGAGGTATAGTACCTCCTCATCTTTGGGACCAAGTGTCCCCAGGCCTAGCCACATTCCCCGCCCTCACGGGGCTCGTAGAGAGAAGCTAGGCCTCTGGTCTGCCATCTACCCCGCCTCAAAGGGGCTCGTGGGGATGGCAGTCTTATGAGCTGCAGATGGTAGCAAGCTCAGGCCTCTATTCAGTAGCCATCGTCATCCAACCACTCCACCAATCATTCCACCACCCGCTCCTACGCCATCCATTCCTCCTCCACCCACTCCTAGCAACAGCTCCTCCTCCAACTACTCCTCATTTATAGGTACACATAAGTACAATTATCATACATAGTAGCATATATAAATTACCTAGGATAACTAAAAAAATAGTCAGTGTCTTATTTTCAAATGAAAATAAGACACTGACTCGTTCCTTGATTTTTTACCCTAATTGATTTTACTTCCCTTTGTGTTAACATTCACGCATATCTCTTCCATATAAGCCTTTCATAACATTAACATTTTTAATTACAGGTATGGATGTGCAATAAGAAGGATTGTGCTACCAAGACTCCTGTAATGATGCCCTTATCCAACAGACCCTTTGGGATCAAAATCCTCCACACAGCACTCTATATGAAGGTGAGTTGCGTGTCCTACACTCTATATGAAGGTGAGTTGCGTGTCCTACACTCTATATGAAGGTGAGTTCCGTGTCCTATCACTGAAGTGCGGGACATGATGCATAATGTCATTGGGGAAATGAGTAGATATCTGAGCCAGTCAGTATAGTTTGTAACACAGCATTATGTCTGAACAGGAAAGTATAGTTGTAAACTTCCTACTGGTGGTACAAAAGGTTGAAATAATGGATTGTACCTGGCCAGTTCTTGTCTAGCCATTATTAAAAAAGACAGAAGGAAATTTTAAAATTTGTTTATTTGAATGTGCGTGGATATGGTACAAATGATGAGAAAGAATTAATTGTTAATGTGAAGGAAAAGATGTTGGTTGCGATGTCACGGAAGATGTAATTCAAGAGGGCTGAGGAGAGACTCGTCAAATGTTTTATTGGAGATATACCAGGAAAAAGTGATGACCAAGGTGTATAAATCCAGGCTGGAAGGAAGGGGGTTAGGGATCGTCCCGTAGGGGTTTGAGGGGCACGGTGAAAGGTTTAGCGAGGTAGGATATAAGCAATGTAACATTTATGAAGTGATTCAAGGTAACCGGTTACCCAGTCTGGAGGTTGGAAGTACAGAGCCAGCACTCTGAAGGAGGGGTTGCCATGCTAGAACTCAGAGGGCCAGTTCACTTGTGATATTGCGCACTTTAGGCACAAAAGTTGTTAAATAAACATAAGGAAGAATTGGACATTTTTGCAATATTTGCAAAAATTCCTTATTCTTTAACTTGTCAGTTTTCGAAACCATTTGCATCATAAATGGTTAATGTTAAATGTCCCCCCCCCAAAAAAAAATATATATATAACTAGCTTTAATTACTGTGACATGTAAAAACAATAAATTTCAAAACTACTAGGCTTTATTAATGTATTCACCTTGTCTAGTGGCTAACGCGACGGGCTGGAGTTTTGAGACTCTATGACCGCGGGTTCAATCCCGGCCGGGGGTGTGGTTTATTCACCTACCTTGGTTTTAGGCACACTGTACAACACTTGCATTAAGACCTATGAGAAAATATCAGTCACAAAGTAAACAGAACAGAACAAACACTCGAGCACATACGTGCATTCTGAGGTTGTATTCTCCAGTATGTACTCGCCTACATGTGGCTGCAGGGACCGATTCACAGCTCCTGAGACCCCCCCCCCTCCTCTGGTCGCTTCTAGGTCCACTCTTTCCCAGCTCCAAAAACCTTGTCGTACCTCTTCTTAAAACCATGTATGGATCCTGCCTCTACTAATTCACTCTCCAGACGTTTCTACTTTCTGACAACTCTAAGACTCGTCTGAGTTTTCAACTTCCATTTGTGTTTCCATGTTTCTGTATCCCATCTCTGAAATATTCTGTCCTTGTTCATCTTCCCGTCAGTTCCTCTCAGTATTTTATACGTCGGTATCATGTGCATCTTATTCCTCCTGTCCTCCAGTGTCATCTGGTTGAGTTGCGTTAACTTCTCCTCATTGGACATACACCTTAGCTACAGGACTAGTCTTGTTACAAACTGTCTCTAATTACTTGACATGCTTAACCAGTTGTGGGTTCCGTATTGTTTCTGCATACTCGAATATTGGCGTGACGTACGCGGTGTACAATGTCGTGAATGACTCTTTACGTAGATGTCGAAACGCGATTTTTAGGTTTGTCAGGCGCCCATATGCTGCAGCGGTTATTGTGTTGATGTGCGCCTCAGGGGATGTGTTCGATATAATACTCACCCCAAGATCCTTTTTCTTAAGTGAGGTTTGCAGCCTTTGACCCTCGAGCCTGTATTCCGTCTGCGGTCTTTTCTGACCTTCCCTAAGCTTCATGGCTTTGCACTTAGTGGGGTTGAACTCCAGGAGCCATTTGTCAGACCAGGCCTACAGTCTGTCCATACCCCTTTGCATCTTTCCTGATCCTTGTCCGCTTGTATTCTCCGCATTAGTTTCACGTCGTCTACGAACAGGGACGCCACTGGATCTATCCCTTCCGTCATGTCATTCACATATACAGGAAACAGCACCGGCCATAAGGACTGACCTGTGTGGAGCCCCACTCAACACCCTGATCCATTGCAGTGATTTTCCTGCTTGTCCCTCTAGCTTTTGTACCCGTCTCTTGTGCGGTACTGTGCCCAAGGAAACGCAGTCTACCCATCCCCTCTCTCTCTCCTGTCTTACTTCTGTTACCTTGTCATAGAACTCCAATAGGATTTTCCATCCTTGAAGTCGTGCTGGTTGTCATGTATGAACCTTCTCCTTTCTAGGTGTTCCACCACTCTTCTGATAGTCTTCTCCATTAAACTTCTGATAGTCTTCTCCATTAAACTTCTGATAGTCTTCTCCATTAAACCACAGGCCAGTGTCAGTGACACTGGCCTGTAGTTTAATGCTGCCTGGCTCCTTTCTTATACAGTCTGCTCCAGACACATACCATTAAGGTAAATGGAGAGAATATACAAGTTAGAAAGAGATGCTCCTTCAACAGACAGAGACAAGGAGTCACTGAACTTTCGAAATATTGATTAGAGAGAGGGAAAACACTTGAGATTTAATTAAATGATTCATACAGAGTCCAGGAGACAGATGAAGCAAGAAGTCATTAATGAAACAGAAAGAAACTCGTATGCAAAAATCCAAGATAAAAACCACATCTTGTATTTTGCCCTTGCTTATTTTCATGTAGTCCTTTTTCGTGGTGAAGAGGCTCTTCTTCCCTTCGGATCAAATCTAAACTCCCAGTCCTCCCTCCCTCTCTTTTTTTTTCTCATTAGTGGGGGTATTTTTCATTTTTGTGAATCCTGCTGCTAAACAAAGAAAAAATCACTATCGGCCCTAGTTAACATTATAGTGTTGTGGTGGTTGCCACTCATACCCGATGGATATAAGGAATCTACACAATTTCCTCGAGCAAACCCTAATGCACCAGTATGCCCCTTGACTCTGACATCCTCTCTGACATTGTATACTCTACTTGAGATTCTTGTACCTCTGCTATACAATCCCTCACACTTTTAATTACCACTCCCACAAACCTACCTCGATCTATTACACAATTTACCATCCAAAACTTTTCTTACCTTGCCTCTACCACTCCATATCGACTTTACTAGTTACCTTAATACATGGCCACCACCTACCACTACATGCTCTTGTAAGATTGATAAGCAGTGATGTCAATATTGCGTGGAATATTAGAGGATAAAAGAGAAACTGGGGAGAACTTCATATATTGATGTCCCAGATTTCCCCTGTATGTATTTGTGCATAAGAATGCAAACTACGTAACACAGTCGGACGTCCTATCTCTGGCTGTGTAAGTTTTCTGCAGTCACTCGTCCCTTATCCCGATACATTATACAACAAAAGTGCGCTTCTAGTACGCAGTGATATTCCTCATTCTTGAATTTCCATTCATAACCCCGTTTCACTGAACCAACACACAACCTACTTCTTTGTAGTTCTTTCCATTTGTTCAAAAAATGTTAAATTTTATTTTCCATCTCACAACAGTATCATAAAATTGAGCTTATTCAAACATTATTTTAAATGTCATTCATTAGCACATGTTGCAAAGGAAAACAGCTCACATGTGTGTCGTGAAGATCAGTGTGTTGGCTCCTGTGATACGTCAGTGAGAACAGGCAGTTTCCCTCCTCTGGAAAACCAGAAGTTTTGTCTCGTCTTGTGCGGTAAATGATTCTCTACGGACATGGCAAATCTAGTTTCGTCAACTCAGTCTTTTAATTTTATTCGGTTGTAGCTCCTATGCCTCGTGAAAGTGTTGATCTATAGCTCTTGGGCCACATGAGAGTTAGATACAGGTAGTAGGCTTCTTGAGTGTTGAGCTAAAGGTGCTGGTCTCCTGCTGCTGGACCTCTTGAGAGGGTTGAATTAATGCTCCTGGGTCTCTTGAGGGAGTTCAGCTGCAGCTTCTCTGACTTTAGAGTATTTTGTTGTACAGCTCTAGGCCTCTTCCGTCAACTGAAGTAATGGAGGTTACTGCTATGAGATAACGTGAGATTCTCTGGGCTGGCTCAGCGACCGTAGCACAACATACTTCACAGCTACCCACTAATGACCACCTTGAAACTCTTCGTTGAGAGGAAGATTGTCTCTGAGTGCGCTTCTACACAGTTTTCCTTTCACGGTGGTCCGTGGCCTGGTGGCTGAAGCTCTGGCTTCACACGGCGAGGGTTTGGGTTCGATTCCCGGCGAGGATAAAAACATTGGGCGTGTTTTTTTGCACCGGTTGTCTGTGTGGGTCGCATCCTGGGACAAAACTGACCTAATTTGCTCGAAATGCTCTGCATAACAAGCGGCTTTCTGTATATGTCATTGATGTCAGCTAGGCCTGTATACCTTGTACATGTACTTGTAGAAATAAAGATATATTGTGATGTAGGTCAACTGTGCTTGTGAGGTCAAAAGAGAGACCTAACTAACCAGCGTAAATTGTCACACTCCTTGCTTTGGCAGGGAAGTGTTAGAATAATAGGCCAATGTGGGCTAAGGTCTCGCAATATTATTATTATTTAAGTACTTCATTATTTTCCATATCCAAGCAGTTGAAACTTGTCACCATTAAATATAATGTTATTTTCCACTGTTGACTGAAAGACTATCCTCACACCTTATTCGACTTTTTTGGGGTTATCTTGGGTAATTTACACTTTTCATAAATAAGATTTTTTTTCGTACAGTATCCTTTGAAAAACAACACTCCGTTATCACAGCTCAGGATTTAGAGCAAGGGCTCTTACCGGGAGTATCCATGGGAACCGAACAATGGGGCTGTGGGACTCGACTCGATCTCTGTTGTTAAATAAGAATAAACTATCACCTTTTCCGCTCCTAGCTATCTATATGCACAATAAAACCAAGCTATTAACATATTCTGAAGTCATACTGAAACCTGAAAGGACTGGTGGTGATTTCAACAGTGTGTTAAGGTGGTATGGGCACATGTTAGAGGATGGGGGGTGTAATCGTGAAAAGATTAAGAGCCCCTGATCAAGAGTATAGGTGCCCTGGTGTATTGAATCGTGAATGCAGTTAGGTCAAGCTACACAAATAACCCGGGAGTTGTTTTTGTACTGTTTCCGTCACGGTATTGTGCTTTTCTATCATTTTAAGTCAGTGTTAATATCTTTCTGGAAAAAATACATAAATGCAGATTTTAACTTGATAAAGCCCAATGTGTGGGCGAAACGTAGAAAATAAAGGATCGCATTATACGTAATGCATGTGTGTGTGTGTGTATTTTTCCATCGTGTAGGTAATTTATGGTACTCACCTCTGTTAATATCTCTTTAATTGCAGATAAAGAACCCATGTGAGAGCCACAGATGTAGCCATTTATGTCTGCTGTCTGCATCGTCTCTCCTCGGCTACACTTGTGCCTGTCCCACACACCTGATGCTGAGCGATGATCATGTCACATGTGTATCTGCGTCCCACACGTGACTCTCAAGCTGCCTCTATCAACATTAACACTCCAGCACAGGACCTTCATACAGTGTATATATACTCAAGACAGTATGTTTGTGAGGATGATCCAGCCATAAGGTTCAGTTTATATAAGGAATAATGATGCATTAAAACCTTCACTACTTCGATGGCATTGTACCGCATTCTACATAGTGAAGCATTGCGAAGCGAAGTGAACCTATCGGGTATCCACACTTTCACAAAAATTAACTTCAAAACATTTTTTTCTTAATACAAAGTTTAAATATATATATATTTTTTTTCAACAAGTCTGCCGTCTCCCACCATATTTATATATGCACATATATATGCACGAGCCTGGCCCATGGCCGGGCTCCGAGAGTAGTGAAACTCTCGATACTCTTCAAAGGTATACATTATATATACACACAATAAGATCACAGTAAACAAGTGATATCACAATTTGCAGAACAACCACTGTGAAAAAACAGTGAACTTCCAAGCGCTTTCGTGATTACCTAACATTATCAAGGACAGGTCCTTGATAATGTGTGAGAAATCTCTTACTTGGAAGTTCAATATTTTTTCACAGTGGTTGTTTTATACATGCGCACAATATACGGAGTTGTCTGTTCTTTTCGTGATGCCTCGTACGCAACAGGTACTGTTTTGCGTATGCTGGTCTGGCTAAGTTTGTAAGGTGATCAGTCATAAAATGTGAAGAGAACGAGTTTATTGTATTTTCTCTCTCTACCTGTTTATGGATTAAATTTCTACAATGTTTGAAATTAAGTAAACAAGCCCATGTTTACAAGTTGTTTGGCTGATTGAAAATTTTTGGAAGTAATCGTCCATCATCTTCCAGAAATTAGAAAATATTTTTGGGGAGTATAAAAAATGAGGTAAAGCCGGGGCTCAACCTATTTGAAGAGCATTTTATAGGCGATGTAGAGAAGCAGAGGAATACGCAGTGCAGAGTAGGATGTGCACATGTACGATGGTATTTACGTCAGGTCATCAGTAGAGAAGCTAAAAAAAAAAAAAAAAAAAAAAAAAAAACAATGGTTATAAATGACCATAATTTTTAAAGGGGTGGACCGGTAAGCCAGTGGAAGGCCTCGGTCAGATGACCAAAAGCTCCAAAGGCGGGTCATCATCTGACTAAGACCCGCGTCAGGAAACATTTGTCCTGTTTCCTGACGAACCTGACCTAACCTAACCTAGTAGAGAAGCTGTTTGTGACTTTTTAAAGTTTGATTTGGAAATTTTAAGTACTTTGTTCTTGAAGTCGGACTTGAATTCCTCAATGGATTCAAGTAATTCCTCTTTCGAGCATAGTTTTGCCGCGATGCAGGTAAACTTGACAGTTCCATATAGCAGTGTATGTATAGTTCGCTGTACCAAACATTGTTATTTGGTACAGTTGTGTTGAATGTGATATCTTTTCCAACCTCGTCCATTAGGAGGGAAAATCTTCCTCTTCCTGGGCTGGTTGTGTATCCTGGGTAGGCTGGTAGGCCTGAGACGATGGCTGTGGTTGGTCAACAGTGGTGATATTTGTTGATGTCTTGTTGGCTGGTTGTGAGCGAGAAGTATTGTTGGACAAGGCTTGGCAGGCGATGGGTGATCAAATAGAAACGTTGTTGTTGTCGGGGGCAGAAGTATTGTCAGTAGCTGGAGATTGTTTAGTATCAGTATAGTAGACTGAGGGTGGTGCCAGGTTAGCTGGTGCTAATGTCGAAGAGTAGTGATGAAAGGTTTCCGAGGTAAAAATTCCCTTCCGCAACTGGGATGTTGCCGCCGCCACTATTGCCGCCGCTGATGTTGCCGTTGATGTGGACAACGCTTCAGATTGACCAAAACTTTCAACTAGCAACTACTTCAAGAAGGCACTGGACAGGCACCTAAAGTCAGTACCTGACCAACCGGGCTGTGGTTCGTACGTCAGTTTGCGTGCGACCAGCAGTAACAGCCTGGTTGATCAGACCCTGATCCACCGTAAGGCCTGGTCTCAGACCGAGCCGCGGGGGCGTTGACCCCCGAAACCGTCTCCACGTAAACTCCAGGTACCAAGCCACCATTAGATGACCCAACAGTTGACCTGGTCACTAGACACCACTGACCAACTTCCACAATCTTGGTACTGGTGGCATTGAAAGCTCCAACCAGACCATCGTCTCAGGTATAATGCATCAAAAATGGCTATAATTACCTTAATTTTTAAAGGGGTGGGCTGGTAAGCCAGTGGAAGGCCTCGTTCAGATGTCCAAAAGCTCCAGTGGGCAGGGTATCATATGACTAAGACCCGCTAATTTCTTTTATTTCACTTAATACAAAAATTTAAAAAATGGTCATTTGACACCTACAAAGATCAGTAAAAATGAAAATTTTTCTTAAAATTTTTCTTTAAACAGCGCACCTCACAGTGGAAATGTAGATACAAATACCTTATTATGCGATGTCCCGTAGCTGGATCGCCAGTGGACTCAGGTCACACACTGAGGTCAGGAGTTTGAATCTCAGTACGGCTGGAAAACATTAGGGACGTGTTTTCGTAAGACACCTGCTGTCCATGTTCACTCATCAGTTTGAAATGGGTACCTGGGTGTTAGTCGACTGGTGTGGGTCGCATCCTGGAACAAAACTGCCCCAATTTGCCTGAAATGCTCTACATAACAAGGGCTTTCTATATAGTAGTATGTCATTGATGTCAGCTATAGTCTGTGTACCTTGTACATTTACTTTTAGAAATAGACTATATTCACTACGTTTCCCCCACATAGTGGACTTAATCAATTAACAGATCTGTTTGATAAAGTCCACTGTGTGGGCGAAACGTAGTCAATAAATGATAGCATTATACTACATTTGAGTATTTTTCCATCATGTCTGTATTTTATACCATTTATCTCCATACCTCGCAGCGTTGAACATTGGAAGCTGATATAAAGAAAAACTCAAGTGTTTGTTGAAAGACCAACAATTCTCACTTTCTAAGCCTTAATTTTATCGAAACTAGATCATGGCGACCAAATACATATATTCAGCGGCCTCTCCCGCAACTCTTTCTAAACTTGATCCCATCCATAATCAGGGATTACGTTTGTCTAGGTGCTTTTCGCTCCACACTTATTGAGAGCTTATATGCAAAGGTGAAAGTTCCATTCTGAACGATCACCGTGATGTCCATTGCCTCTGTTATTTTATCCGCTCCCAACAACGTTGGTCTGAGATGATTCATAACAAATTACATTCTGTGAAGCCTAGTTGAGGATTCTGGTCTTATATTATCATCGATGTCGTGGTTGGGAAACTACGCTTTCTCGTCTTCGCATCGGGCACACACGTCTCATGGGTATCTCATAGAGACGCGCCCAGTTCCACTCTGTGCTAATTTTCAGATTCCAATTTCAGTTAATATTCGATTGGATTGCCCTGTTTATCAGCAAGCACGCAGAATTTACCTCCATCGTCGTCACCGCTCTAACACACACACTGTATCTTCCCTCCTCACTGACAGCCCCACCTTTGACATAGACTCCTTATTTGACTTTTTGACAGCAACAGATTTATACACAACCTTGAATTTTTTTTTTATATTTTATTTATAACCAATACAGTATACATAAAAATAAAAATAAAAGGAAACAGTATGGATCTCTAACATCATAATCCTACTAGAACATCTACATACTTATCCCATATACCAAAATACAAATAAACATACAAAGAAAACAGCTTAAAACCGACTCATTACAGTTACAATAAACCCGTATACAAAAATCTCAGACACAAAAGGAATGCGTCTATAAACTGGCTAGATATATCTGTATACCATACAGCCAAAACTTACGTTAAGAACATAGCATGAAAAACCTATATCAGGGTGCTGACAGTCTAAGTACATCTTAACATACAAAAACCTAGAACATAACATAACCTAAAAAAAAACCACTTCATATGGCAAAGAACAATACCATTGTATAATACTATACAAAGTACATTGAAATGACAATTAAAACAAATTATCGAAAAGGGAACATACAACAAGCATGTTGAATACCTATAAACCTACACATCACATACACCACAGTATTATCTTTGTATAACACATTTGAGGACAAAAAGAAAAACCAAACATACTTAGATCATGCCTTGTGTCACCTCAAACCTTCAAACACACAAATACTGTGAGATGTACCCTCTCACACATACACACAATGTAGTGCAACAACACTACTTACATATTATATTCAATACCTTCTGAAAAACAATGTGAAAAACATATCTTGCACAACTAAACCCCGACCAAACTCACATCACAAAAGAAGCTTATTTATTATATTACCAAACATACCACACACGCTAACATCCATACACATGTCCATACTCAAGAAAACTAGCCCGCCGCAACCCCTTACTTGACACTTAAATCTCTTAAATCCTTCAACCTGAATCTACGATAACCTTCAGTAAATGCTGTCTCCCATCTTCCCCCATAAAGATCCCTATTGCGGCACTTTGTTCTATACATCGTGGCCCCTAACACTCTTATCCTTTCCTCGACTCCCACCTCCCTCATTGCCCAAGATATATAAATAAAATCAGTGACCACATACGCAACCGCATTCACCACCTGCTGCAACCTTGAATTATACTTCCCTTAGCACTCCTCACCGCCCTTACATACTCTACCTCTGTTATATTCTCCACCCTCGCTAGTTTCAGATCCTGCATATTACACGGTTCGCACACCCTACCCTGCAGCACTGTAAGTCCTTGGAGGGATTAGCGCTTAGTTTTGATTATAAAAATAATTTCACTTTCTAAATGATTATAAACGTAGCAAACTTTCCCAGATGCAGGCTAAAATTATATTAACCCTTTCGGTTAGTCATCGTAATTATAGGTTTAAACCATTTCAGAAGAGGCGTTCTTAAGTTATCGAATGGATACCAACACATTTTTTTTCAAAATTAGACACATGTGCAACTCTTGGGTATCTTTATTGAGGATAAAGATACCCTCAATAAAGATACCCAAGAGTTGCACATGTGTCTAATTTATCAACATTTCGGTTCTCTGAACCATTCATCTACAAACATTTTTTCTATAAATTTTGCATTATAAATTTGAAGCCGATAACAAAAATTGTGGAGTACGTTGGTTGGTTGATTAATAGGAATTAAAGCCTCTGGACTCCACCAGGCTCATTAAGGTTGCATGTCACCTGGGTGTGTTTCCTAAACACATCTGTACCTGTTCACCTAGTAGCAAGTAGATACCTGGGTGTTAGCCGACTGTTGTGGGTCGCATCCTAGGGACAAAATTAACCTAAGTTGCCCGAAATGCTCTGCATAACAAGGGACTTTCTATGTAATATGTTATTGATGTCAGCTAGGTCTAAGTTGTATCATGTGCTGCAGCGCTGTATGACCCCGGTAGGTTTAGCGCTTCCTTTTAATAATATATGTGCTTGTAGAAATTATATCCTTCGAATTGTTGTAATTTGTGCTGGACGAATAACCTTTAGACATAAATTTAAAGTGTCTGCTACAAAGAATTTATATGAATTAATTTAATTCACGCATTTAAAGGCAGTACATTGCAGAGAGAGAGAGACCAAGCCAACATTATCGAACATTATTTACTTCAACTCTCGTAGCCATCACTGTGGGCAGGAACTGTGGTGAATTCGTTTAGCAAAAAAACTGGGAGGACTTAGGTTTCTTGTTTTTATGTATATACTGAGGTCCACGGAGGGGCAGTTTAAACCTGTTTTATGTGTTATTTTTGGTCGGGCGGGAAATGCGAGTATCCCACGCATTCTTCACTATAATATATTTTACGGATTTTTTTTCGCAAAATTGAATTTACCGGTAAGAGGTGTTATCTTTGCTCATTTTCAAGGCCCTGAATATTTAATGTTTGCTACCAC